ATAGTCCTTCTCTTCCCATCTTTATCCTTCCAATTCTTTGCCTTGCCTCCTCCACCAATCAATGTCTTTAACACCATGTTTAGCAGAAGTGAGAATAGAAAATAGAACAGTCTCTTTGTACTTAATGCCAAGGTTTTCAGTAATTACCATTAGATATGAAATGTGTCTTGGGGATTTTGTAGACAGAATTATTGGAATAATGATGCTATTACCATTTAATCCTTGTTTGGAGAGAGTGGTCAGTCTGAAAATATGTTAAAAATTTGTGTATGTGCATGCATGAGTGTTTGTCTATGTCTGTGCATGTGTGTATTCATGTATGTGTATGTGTGGAGGGTGTGTATATATGTGTGTATATCTGTGTGTGCATACATGTGTGTAGTGTGTGCATATTTGTGTGGTATGGTGTGTTTGTGTTTTGGATGTGTGTGTATGTGTATGTGTGTGCTGCACAACTCCAAGAAGTTATATATTCTGGCCACTTATTTCTTTTATTTTAGGGGTGCATTGATTTATTCAAACATTTATCTGCTTTGCACCCAGGAACACCTGGCTGTGTTATGTTTTGTTTACCGCCGTCTTCTTCCTTCTAATCCTCTGTTTAGTGTCTTCACACCTATATTGAAGGACAGAATTTCATTACTTCCTTGTAATATTTTGTTTTCAGGTCTGTATGACAGTAATAAACTGGACTTAGACTGCCTGGCAGCTTGGGGTCCCCCTTCAACAGCTTTAGAAGATACTGTGTGGAGGAGACTCGGCTTCCTCTATTTGGAGAAATTCTATTGTGAATTGCTTTTTTTTTTGGTCAAGATTTTTGTTTTGTTTATTTGTATGGACAGGTACCCAGGCAGTTGTTATGTAAGAGACATGATTTGTTCAATATATCTGGGACTACTAAGATTTTAAAAATCTGTTCTTGACCATGTTTAGAAGCTACAGCTTAAAGGTTTTGTTCCCATTTCACTGGAGTTTTCTAATTTATTATCTCAAAGTTGTACCTGCTAGTCCTCTCTTTTTTAGGAATTAAAGGAGCTGTAATGAACGGCCTTTTATCATACCAAAGATTGATACATTTTTTTCTCCTGAGGCTTGCTTAGTTGGACACATTTCCTGCCTTTTCTATTGACCCTTAATTTTTTCTCTTCTTCTGTTTCAGTTTGAGCCATGCTTTCGTTCATTGACTTCTTTCTACTTGCTGACAGTGATTTGATCTTCATTTGCAAGATTCTTAAGAGGTGAGGCTAGGTCACCAGTTCTATTTATTTTTCTTTGTGCCTGCATTTAAGATTGTCAATTTTCCTCTCTTATTTTGATAATGACACATTCTGTAACAATTCTTGTGGTCATGAAGACCTTTGAGATCATAAGATGTACCTTGGAACTTTACAGCTTAATAAGACTATTTTTCCTAAACGAATATCATTTTAACTTTATTCTAAATACTTATCCTTATACCCACAGATAAACATAGATTTCACCTCTCATCAAAGACACTTCTTTTTGCAGCAGATGGACACTGTTGCAGATATCTAATACTGGGCAAAATTTTTGGGGTGCCCAGCCCCATGTAATACATATACAGCACAATCTCTATACTGAAAGCTCAGGGAATACCTTGAGAGAGGTGACAGGAATATTTTAAGAGCAAAAAAAAAACCAACCATGGCATTTGATGCTAGGTAGTGTTTTTAATATATGACTGGGAAGTTACAGCCATGAACTCTCAACAGCATGGCCACCTAGACAAGACCTGCCCAGTGGCACTAGTTGACATGTCAGTGTAGATGGGGGAAATCTACAAGGCCCAGCCCTACATGAGGAACTTTAGGCAATTAATGGCTGCTGCTAGAAGGAGAATCATCCTTCCCTAGACCCCTGATAGGTTATTCAGTCCCAAGTGGTTAGCTCTAAGCACATATACATACCAGCAGCACTAAAGAAACTTAGTAGGTTTTGTGTGTGTGTGTGTGTGTGTGTTGCATATATACACACCTATACACATATGTATGCATATATACACATAATAGAGAAGAGGCCATGAACTTGAGAAGGAGGTAGAGAACATGGGAGGGGTTAGAGAGGGAGAGAGTGGTATGTTAATGATGTAACTAGTACTCATATGAAATTCAAAAAAAATATTTAAAATTTGAATAAAAAGAACCAATCTGTTTCTCATACTCAGTAAACATAGCAATTCTAGGACCAATTTTGAAGCAGTGACCTTTGTGTGGTTGTGGTATACAATTGAGTTATATATCATCACTTCTCGGCCTTTTGGCTAAGATCAAGTGTACAATTGAGGTATATGTATCACATTCCCAGTTATTATGAACATTGAGGATCACTGCTCTGTCTTCCTAAGGGTCACTGGGTGCAATGGTAGACACCTTCTCCCATATCCTTGCTTTCTTCCATCTCATTTCACTCTCATTTTCCTTGTCTTTTCTGTAAGTTGTTGCCATCCGTGTCGGAGTCTCACCGCTGCTGGCAGTGGGATGAAAGCCGTATCTCTGCTGGTGGTTCTGTAACACACATGCATTCCTTCAGTTCTGGAGGCTAGATCTCCAGAAAGAAATGTCAACAGGCCTGGGCTCTTCCATGGCCTTGGAGTACAATTCTTCCCAGGCCATGGGTCAGCTCTGGTGGTCTCTGGTGTTGCTTGGTGTATAGGGAGCTACCTTCTTTCTGCATCTTTTCATGTCACTCTCTTATGATTACCTGTGTAGGTCAGTCTAAATTTTCCCTTGTCGGAAGCACCCTGGCCATATCCCATGAGAGCTCACCCTAAACACTTCCTCAGACTTCAATTGTTCCTAAAAGGCCTTATTTCAGTTTGGATGGTGCCTACAGACACTAAGGGTTAGGACTCTTAAGGCGCACAGTGCATCCTAGAACATCCACTCTGTCAACCTAACTTTCTCTAATACACTCTTCCTATCTGGGGATCTGTCTTAGTCCCTATGATCAGCCTTCACCTGGTGTGTTGCTTTCTTATGCAGACTGGCACTCAGGGTGTCCTCTCCATGGGAATGTCACTTGGCTTCACCCCCCTGCTCTAAATTGAGCCATGCTCCTCTTTGTCTTCATACCACACCCTCCTCCAATCACATCACACTCCCTCCATTCATGTCAAGCTCCCGCCATTCACACTACACCTCCTCCATGACATCAATCTCTTGAGCTTCCCAGCCCTGCTAACATTTATAGCATTATTTTGTCCCTGGAGGCAGCTCTCTGCTTGGCAGTGTGGTTCCCTTGATATCTTCTGTGGTCAGGTTTCCTGGGTGTTTCTTTGATGATTGTTTCTATAAAAATGGAATCTTGCACGCTAATGTTCTTGGTCTAGCACAGTAACTGTGCGGTGCTTTGATGAGTCACCAAGGAAAACTAGGTCAGTCCCTCTGTGGGGATCTGAGGAGCCTTGTTTCCTGGTGTGGGAATGATGTGGCATATGCAAACGATGATGCAGGGTCGGTATACACGTGAATGTCCAGTGTCTCAGGATTCTTCCTTCTGATGATCTAGCAGGAGCCAGTCAACCCTTCCCCAATCCCTGGGGTGATGTCTCTGAGTGATGTGCTCTTGTTTCCTTCTATGAGAGGAGCATGAAGGAGCTGGCACCAGTCCATGCCTTATTTCCCTCAAGGAAGATGCAGGACATATTGTGGCAACAGGAAGGATGCCACTGGTCAGGACAAGTGCAGACTGCTGCCAGGGAGAAGTGCTATGTGTCAAGGCAGGTACAGCTAGGACACATCAGGGGAGATCCCAGTAAGCAGCTGGAGCTTTGGAAAGGGACATTACAGGACACCAGTCAGAGCACCCTTGCTGCCCAAAGTAAGGGCACCAAATTCAGGAGCTAGCAGAGATATTGAATATGAGGGAAAGGGCAGAAAATTACGGAAATGTATCATTGTAGGACTGTCGAGCAAAGGCAGTGAGGGAAGGAAGATACAGGGCTGAGGTGGAGAGTGGCCACTTGGGCATCTCACCAGGCATCTCAGTGGTCACATGTCAGGGTAGGAGGACAAAGTATCAGAAAGTAACTGTAGACAGATCCCAGCCTCAGCATCATCAGGCCTATGAGTTCTGGCTTCTAGCTACAGGGAAACTTTCAATAAACAAGTGGTTATTGGGACAGGTACAGACGTACAGGCAAGTTTAAAAAGTGAGCATTATATGGAACTTATCTCTAAGTACAACAAATATAGATCTGTAAAAAAAAATTACTACTGTTACTTTGTTAATGGACATAATATTGAACTGCTGTTTAAATCATCCCTCTGGACCCATAGGTGAGTGCAGCACTCAGTCCTTACTAGAGAAGCTTCTTTGTGTAGAAGATGGTGGCTATGGCAGAAACTCACAACTGGTCAAAGTCCAGAGAGTATCAGTGGCATGCTCAGCTGCAGATGATGTGTTTACACCAATCTTCCCCAAGGTCAAGGGGCCATCACAGAAAATGGAGCAGAAAGAGTGCAAGAACCAGAAGGTGGGGAAAATTAGAGCAAACCAGTGTCTTCCGGACAGGTCAGGACCACAGCATTCGTGAGCTCATAGCACCTGTGGTTGTCTACACAAGACCCGCACAAAATCAATCCAGCCAACATCCCAGAGTGAAGTGGGAAGGAGCTAAGGGCCCCCATCTTTAACCAAGCAGCTTGGACAGCTGATGTCTTCCAGGGAAGAGACAGACAGTTTTATTTAAGGATGTGGTCCTGGTAGGTTGACATTCATGCTCCAGTAGATGCCCCTTATGCATATGGGCAGTAAAGTGAACTCAGTGTTATAAAAAAAAAAAAAAAGGAAGGCACACAATTGGGAGGAGGGGGAAGGTGGGGGTTGGATCTGGGAGGAGCTAGGGAGAACTGGAGGTGAATGTCATACAAATCCATCATACAAAATACTAAAAGACTTAATGAATTATTATATTATAAAAGGTCTTTAAAAAAAGAACATCTAGCAGTTAGTTGTTTTGTGATTACGAGAGGCTGAGCACTTAGGATGCTGCGTGGAAGACGAAGCCGCTCTTCCCGGGTGGCCCCTCCGGCCAACCGGGCCCCTCAGATGAGGGCTGCTCCCAGACAAACACCTGCAGCTCATCCTCTGGCAGCAGCTGCCCCATCTGCAGTTGGCTCCCCTGCCGCTGCCCCCAGGCAGCCAGGCCTGATGGCCCAGATGGCCACCACTGCAGCTGGTGTGGCTGTGGGGTCCGCAGTGGGGCACACCCTGGGTCATGCCATCACTGAGGGCTTCAGTGGAGGTGGTAATGCTGAGCCCACGAGGCCTGACGTCACTTACCAGGAGCCCCAGGGAACCCAGCCTGTGAACCAACAGTCTTTTGGGCCTTGCTCTCTTGAGATCAAACAGTTTCTGGAGTGTGCCCATAACCAGAGTGACGTCAAGCTCTGCGAGGGCTTCAATGAGGTTTTGCGGCGGTGCAGAATTGCAAATGGTTTGATCTAATCAAGAAGTTGAAACGAAAGAGATTGAAGTGGGATCTACATAATTGACAGTGCACGTGTGGACCCTGACTGAACCTTCCTTCTAATAGCTATTAAAGAGTTCTAACTGTGTAGATATTCACTGAGGCTTGTTGTAGTGTTGGGACTGGGCAAGTGATAGCCTCCTGAACCAACTGTGTTGTTTTTGTGAGTTAATGAAAATAAAGTTGTTTTCTTCTGAATAAAAAAAAACAACAACAACAAAAACAAAACAACAAAAAAATAAACCAAAAACAAAAAACCTCACACTGGCAAAGTTAGCATGGAGAGTTCTCATATAGACCATGTCTAGGTCTCCCTCACCCACATCTTAAAACTTATGGTCTGTGATTGGGGCAGACAGGATGTAGTCTTACTAATGGAGTTTCATGGTAATTTTGGTGCTCTAGGGCTGCCTAGGTCTCTGTTCTGGGATATCATAGACCTTCTCCTTGTCTCATTCTCCTCATCAGCTTCCTGCCTTGACCCCCAGCCCTGAGGATTTCTCAGACTCGCCTTGGTGTTGGTGCCTTGGAAAGTCTGAGGGAGCCCAGGTCAGGCAAGCCAGAGAATGCCCCTCAGACATTGTTTTCTTACTCATTAGGGGTGCAGTTTGAGTGAGGAGAAGGAAAATGTCCTTTCTTTAGCATGGGGCCGTCCCCTGCTGTCAAGGTGACTTGTCACTGTTGGGCTAACTTGAGTCATCCAGGTGCCATTTCCTAATTTACTTACTTTGTTCGGCCCCGTGTTCATTTCCTTTACGTTACCTTTTTCTCCCTTCCTTTTATCAACTTGTTGAATTGAGTCCATGATGCCTTTTGAAAATATTTTGCTCACTGCTGACATGGGGTCATTTGCTGGCGGTACCTGGCTGTGTTTTGTCTGGTGTGAGATCCTTCCCGCAGGCAGGGTCGGGAAGGTCTCCTTTGCTGGGAGTTCTTGCTGGCTGCTGCTGGCTGAGGTCTGCAGCCTCCTCACACATCTGTTTCCTGCCTGAGAACCACACCATCTCCCTCATCTTCTTTCTGCCCAAGGAGGCCTTTATTTGTGTTTGCCCTCACTCTCTAGACCAGGGAAGGTCCTGAGTCTTCTTTTATGATCCTTGTATTTATTTTCTACAGGGTCAAATATGACCCTGTTAAGCCCTCATGGGTATCTGAATGAATTGGCTTTCTCTGTTTTAGAAGTCTTACCTGTAATTCACTCAGGATATTTGGAAATGGAAGCCTTTACCTTCTGCCATAGACATGTCTTCCCCATCTGATCTGCCTTATCCTTGTGGGTCATAGGTCAGTGCAGGGGATGTTCATATTCAGTCCTGACACTATCATTACAAGTGTCTGCCAATAGTGATGAGCAGGGCCTTTCCAGGGATAACAACAGAAATCAGGGAGGCCAAGCCAGCTCTCTTAGAGTCATGCTCTAAGGAAGGGAAGAAGCTCATGCATCTGAGGTATAGTCAAAAATTGACAGAACCAGAAATGTGCCTTCATAGGAGTCAGGGTGAATGATGAGGTTTACTGGCTCTTTGAAGGAAGTATCTGGTGACTTGAGATTGAGGTACAGGATCCACCCTTAAAATCATGAAAGGAGTGGTATTTAGGCAAAGACATTTATTGCAACCTAGACGCGAATCTGTGAGTCAAGAAACGCCACGGGGGTCTACATACTTAGCTTCACTGTGGTTGTGTTAAGAGGTAGAAAGTTGATTGGTGGGTGACAAGGCCTTTGGAAGAGATTAATGTAGTTCCAATCTAGCCTCAGTTGGTTCTCATAAAAGTAGGCTGTGATAAAAAATGAGACCAGCTTTCCCATACTTTGGACTCTTGTCTCACCATGTTGCCCCCACATCTTGCATTGGGCTGTTTTGTGATGTCACTTGCCAAATCACACTGTAGCTGAGGCACCTCCCCAGAGCCAAGCAGGCCTTAGCATCCAGTCTTTGGAACCGTGACACTAACCTCTCTTCCTTACAGATTACCTACACTTGAGGATTTTGTTATAGTCATAGAAAATAGCCCTGATCTACGTTTCTGGAAGGTGTCTCAGCAGCTTGAAAGAAGAATCAGGATGCTGCAAACTGGAAGCAATGTCTGTATAGTTGGGACACAGGACTTCCCACCTAAGTGATTGCTCTGGTAGCCCAGTGGGGAAACAGGGCCATATCTTCATGGCTTGCATGGAGGTGGTGAGGCACGCCTGGCTTTATTCTTGAGGCCAGTACTGAAGGTGACTGTGGCATGGCTTTGGGTGTTAAGTGCTAGTAAAATAAACACTAGTGTGGAGAGAAGCGCCTTCCACTTGCCTGCTGCTGGTGCTCAAGATGCTACCCCCTGCCTCTGCACTTCCATTTTCCCCTTGTTCTCTTCCCCTTGGATGCGGGCTCCAGCTGGCCCAGACCTGCTGTTCCATTCCACATCTTCACAGTACTAAATATTTTACTCGACACTCAAGAGTCCGGGCAGAGAGAAGGCAGATTGGTGCATCAGGCCAGTTCTCCATGTCTATCAGGCTTCTTAGCACATGAGAATCAAAACAGTCACCTTCTGCCTTCTGTGTGGGTCTCTGTCACTACTCACTGTCCCTCAGATCTCAGAGACACTCTCTGAGGCCATCCCAGCATGACACCTGTGGAAAACCCATGTCTCTGGCAAACGTTAACCCCAAACATGCACAGTTCTCTCGAGCTTTTCCTTTCTATTGAGTTGAATTTAAAAAATGTTTACCTAGGGAGCCTCTGCTCACAGATCAAAAGTGTGGCAGAACCCATCTATACTGGTTTGTTTTAAATGTCAACTTGCCACAACCTAGAATCTCCTGAGAAAAAAGTTTCAGTTTAAAAACTGCCTAGATCATGTTGGCTCATGGGCATGTCTATAGGGGATTGCCTTGATTGTTAACTGAAGTAGTAGTGCCCAGTCCACTGTGGGCAGCACCATTCTCTCTAGTTGAGTGGTAATGAACAGTGTAAGAAAGCTAGCTGAGCATAAGCATGATAACCAGCCAGCAAATAGCATTCTCAATGACTCCTGCTGCTTTGACTATGAAGTGAGTACCTTGGTCAGAGGTAATCATTGTGTGGAACAGCAAAAAGGCCTGCCTTCAAGTTCCTGACTTGATTTTACAATGTTGGGCATAACCTCATAACCTGGAATTGTAAGTTGAATAAGCTGCTCTCTCTCTCCCCTGCCATATGTTGCTTTGGTCAGAGTGTTTTATCTCATCAACAGAGATGGACCTAGGTGCCCAGAAGTACACTAGGACTGAACAGATCCAAGATCTCCTTGAATAAGTGTGAGGACTCTCAGTGTCCAAGTCAAATCCTGTGACCCTATCAAGGCAGGTCAGGCCATCCCTAGGCCATATGCAGAAGGACTCTTAAGTCCAAATCTTTGGGTGGCTTAAGAGAAAACCAGGAGTAAGCAGAGTGGCTGTACCTAACCCCAACCACTAGAGAGGCTAAGGCAGGAAGATTGGAAGGTCAATCTAGGGTTCTAGGTCAGTCTGTGCAACACAGTGAGGTCTTGTCTCAAATTAGAAAGTCAAAGAGGGCTGTGAATATAACTCAGTGATGGAGGGCTTGCCTTCCTGACGTTTGTGATGGAGGCCTTTGTTTCAAATCCCAGTATCACAGAAGAGAGTAGAAGCACTTGGGTTCTCTTTGAGACAGAGGGCATTCTGCTTTGACCTACAATCTGTTCCTCATCACACAGCCATAGGGGTCAAGAGAGGTGATGTTGGGGAGGAGCCAGATAGGAATGATGCCAGGATCACACATTCCCAAGTAGACTGGATTAAGAGTAAGGCCAACTTAAACTATAGTGTGAGTTCAATGGTTACCTAGGCAATGAAGGGAGATCCTGTCTCAAAATAAGAGGTTAAACAAGGGTGGCAGTCTGCAGGCATAGTTTATCGATAGAGTGCTTGCCAAGTGTGACCCAAGTTCAATGTCAAATTCAAAAGCATGAGAGGGAGAGAGAGAGAGAAACACAGACAGAAACAGAGATTTCTTTGTTGAGGGTTTCTTTCTTTTTTTTTTTTAAAGATTTATTTATTTATTTATTTATTTATTTATTTATTTATTTATTTATTTATTTATTTATTTATTTATGTATACAATTTCCTGTCTGCATGTATTCCTGCAGACTGAGAGAAGGTGCCAGATCTCATTACAGATGGTTGTGAGCCACCATGTGGTTGCTGGGAATTGAACTCAGGACCTCTGGCAGAACGGCCAGTGCTCTTAACCGCTGAGCCATCTCTCCAGCCCTGTTGAGGGTTTCTTTATCAGATTCTACTTAGTTAGAATTACTTATTTAGCTATGTTTTAGTTATTAGTTATTTAGTTATTAATTAGAATTAGTTATTAGTTAGAATTAGTTATTAGTTATGTTTCTTTGGCCGTGATAAACACCATGACCAAAAACAACTTAGGTGGGAAAGGCTTTTGTTACATCTTACAGCTTAGAGTTCAAGAAAAGTCAGGGCAAGAACTGAAGGTAGGAATGTGGAGGCAAGAACTGAAGCAGAGGCCATGGAGGGATGCTGTTCACCAACTTGCTCTCCATGGCTCACTCAACCCGCTTTCTTATAGCACCTAGAGGCAACACCACCCACAATGAGCTGGGCACTTATCAATCATTAGTCAAGAAAATGCCCCCACATGCTTGCCTACAGGTCAGTCTGATGGAGAGAATTCCTCAGTAGAGGTCCCCTCTTCCCAAATGACTGTTTGTGCTAGCACAGACTCAACTCTCATTTACCACCTAATATCCTCCCTGACCTGAAACAGGGGTACATAGGGATGGACTGTCAAGGTCCTGGTAGCTTAGGCCCCTTGGCTTTCCATCCCCATCAGGAGACAGTTATGGCCTCAGCCAGTGTCAGCTGCTGTAATAAAATTCCCTAGACTTTGTACCTAATAAAATAGCCCTTGAGGATCAGGGTTCAGGAGGCTGAAAGGAAGTCCATGATCAAGACGTCA